CCCAGATATATCCGGCATATACTTTGCCACTTGTCCGCTATGAACTTTCTCAGAATCGAAACCAAGAGTATATGCTAATTGCCGACTTAATTGGATATATTGTACGTTTCCTTGTAAGAAAACATGGAACCTCTTATGCAATTTATCAAAGTGTACTGAAACCCACTGATATTTTGGATCAGCGAGTTGTATATTGGAGAAATTAAGAAGCATTTTTAGATATTCAGGAGGATAGCCATATTTAGCAAAATGCATTTTCTTTACTTTAGGATCCGAATCATCAACGCGTATTTTTAATTTTTCTTTGTGAGGTTCTCCTTTCTTCTCTTTTGCTTGACTTGGAAGAGTTTTTTCTTCCGTTTTGCTTTCGCTAGATACACCGCCATGTCCAAAGAAGCTTTTCCAATAGGAAGGCCTTTCAGGAGGTTCTCCTATTAACATTTCAGGACGTGGAAGAGTTGGAAGATCAGTCTGCTTATTATTTTCAACTATTATTAAATTTGCCGTTGAAGGCGAAATACTGACAGGATCTTCTTCTGCTAATGGAGGGGACCATTCATCGTCCTTATCGTTTATTGTTTGAGTTTCCTGCAGAGTCTCTTCTTGTGTATCTTCTTCCTTAGTACCGTCTTCGATAATCGTAGGTTCTTCATATGTCTCAATATTTACTTCTTCTGGTAATGGAGGAGTCCATTGTTCTTCGTCCTGGTCATTTATTGTTTCTTCCGGAGGATTTTCTCGTTCGTCTTCTTCCTCATTAGCTTCTTCGATAAGCGTAAGTTCTTTGTGCGCTTCAATATTTCCTTCTTCTTGTAATGGAGGTGTCCATTGCTCCTCGTCCTCATCGGTTAATGAATGTGATTCCTGCAGCGCCTCTTCTTGCGTGTCTTCTTCAGTTTTTTCTTCTTTTTCTTCTTGTACTTCGATATTTTCTTCTTCTATTAATGGAGGTGTCCATTGCTCTTCATCCTCATCGACTATTGATGCAACTTCATGTTCTTCATGCTCCTCAATATTTTCTTCGTTAGTCTCTTCTGGTAATGTTTCATTTATATTTTCAAAGGCTGCAGGTACTAGACTTGATGAAGTTGTTTCAATTGCCGTGTCTTGTTTCGCAAGTTCCGCGTCAACCTTACCAATAATTTCTTCTGATAAACGTTTTTGCCCCGCAACAGCCTCTTCAACCTGACTGGCTGCTTCCTTTACCTTACGTTCTGAGGCCTTAGCACGATCCGCAGCCTTTCTTGCTTCCGTGACATCACCGCGGGATTCTGCAGCTTCAGTTTCTAGTTGTGCTTCCGAAGCTCTTTTCCCATACTCTAAACATTCCTGTGTCCATTTATCAATTGCAATTTTACGATTAGTTAACAATATTAACTGAGATTTAACCCATTCAAGAATATTTTCAGGCGTTTTTCTTAAGTGTACAGTTTCGCCCGTTTCTTTTAATGTAATCACACTATCTTTTAACGCATACATATAGCGCGCATTCTGCCAATATTTTTCACCAAGTTCCATATTGATTTGTGCTTGCTCTGCCAACTCTACACTATTTCTCCATGCTCTTGTCGCGGCACGAACGGCCATTTCCATTAAAACTTTTTGATCATCAGTTAATGATGGCTTTTCATCAGGCTCGTCTATATAATTAAGGGGAGTTATTTTCCCATCAAAAGGAGTTTTGTCATTAATTATTGATTCAAGTTGTTTTTCTTCAGGCGTTGTCACTGGAGTCTCAGGTGTAGGCAAAGCTTCGATTATTGGACTTGTCGCATAAATTTCAGGAGTGGGCGGAGCTTCATTTATAGGGCTTGTCACCGGAGTGGGCGGTGCCTCGACAGGAGGCTCGGGAGAGGGAGGAGCTTCGATTATTGGACTTGTCGCATAAATTTCAGGAGTGGGCGGAGCTTCATTTATAGGGCTTGTCACCGGAGTGGGCGGTGCCTCGACAGGAGGCTCGGGAGAGGGAGGAGCTTCGATTATTGGACTTGTCGCATAAATTTCAGGAGTGGGCGGAGCTTCATTTATAGGGCTTGTCACCGGAGTGGGCGGTGCCTCGACAGGAGGCTTGGCAGAGGGAGGAGCATCGATTATTGGACTTGTCACAGGAGTCTCAGGAGTGGGCGGAGTTTCATTTATAGGGCTTGTCACCGGAGTGGGCGGTGCCTCGACTGGAGGCTCGGCAGGGGGAGGAGCTTCGATTATTGGACTTGTCACTGGAGTCTCAGGAGTGGGCGGCGCTTCGATTACAAAACTTTCTTCTTCAGATGGTACGGAGTCAGTCGTTTCAGATTGTTGAATAGAATCAGGCTTTGACGGGGAAAAGTACATAAAACTTTTAATTGCATTCATTATAAGATCCTTCTGATCAGTTTGTGGCTCTAATCTAACTGTCTCAACAGAGCTTCCCGAAACCGAAGTTACATTTGGAAGTTTTGCACCCTTAATTTCCTTATTTAAATATTTTATAAATTTATAAGCAAGGTCTTTTGGCATATTGAAGTAACCTTCCCTTTCCAATTGGTGAGTGATAGACTCCAATGAGAAATTAACCTGCGGATTCTCATGCTCGGCAGCTGTTTGTGGAGTTGATTCCTGTTCAGGGGTTACTCCTTGACTAGTAACAGATGCAACTTTCTCTTCAGTTTGATCAACGTGTGAAGTATTCATAAATTCTGTAATAGCCTGTTTGATTCTATCCCTTTGATCGGTATACGGACGAAACCGAACTCTTTCTATACCATCAACTGCAAGAGGGGCAGGGCTTATAGGTGGTAATCGAATTTGTTCTTTGCCTAAATATTTCATAAAATTAAAAGACGTTTGCTTTTGCAGATCAAAATAGCCATCTCTAGCCAATTGCTCCGTAGGTTCTAATTGAATAAAAGCTTGTTGTGAAAGAATAAATTTATCAATAACTTTTAAATAAAGAGATTTTTGATTTGCAGGAGGCAAAAGACGAATATTTTTTCCGCTTTCTCCTGGACTCAAATTTGTAAGTTTTGGACTAATTGCTTCATCCTCTTCCGATAATAGCTTGATAAATTTATTTAGTTCATCTGTATTCAAATCGAAATAACCATGTTTATCATACTGTTCATTTATAGATTCGACAGAACGCCTTTTACGAAAATTCCCATAAATTCTTTTTTTATTCTCTTCAAGCCTCATTTCCTCACGCTCACGATCCAATTCCTTTTTCCATACATCAAGCAAAACTGCATTAATAGCCTCTTCCAATGCTTCTTCTGAGGCAAAGGACAAATCCGGTATCTCGATACGAATTGGTAAAAGTTCATTTCCATATCTTCGAAACACAGTTATAGATTCTTGTTCTTCAGAATCCCCGGACAATGAAAAAGAAAACGGATATATAATATTTGAAAGCGCGACTGTCCAGCTAGAATCCAATTCAAGTGTATCAGGCATTCGCACAGTAAATTTTGAAGTTGTATTTCCTTCAACGCTTCCGGTATTTGAAGGCAAGACTACATAAAAGGAGTCCATATTTATCTTCGAACAATATCGGTATCGTTAATCCAACTATTATAGCTTTCTTTGTATCCAACCCAGCGTACGAAATGCTGCTTTATTCCTTCACGTGTGGTACGCGTTTTCAAAATTTCTGCAATTCTATGTGTTGTATCCTCTTGCGTAGGTACTAGCTCTTCTCTATAAAACACTCCTTCAATTATATTTTTTTCAAAATCTTTTAACTTATATGTAACAGGATTATGCGCGTCGTTTACTATATGGACAAGAAATAATTCGTCAGTATAGTTTGGCAAATATCCTTTTTCAAATTTACCTTTTTCTTTAGTTATACGAACAGTTTGTCCAGGCTTAAGTATAGATAATACCTTCTGAGGATTAATATTTTGTGTATCCTTATATAGCCTCTCAAATAATTTTCGAGAGTTCTTAAAGTTAACAGAATTAGGTGTAACACCTATAACGCGGTTAACGCTCGAATTTATTCCAGAAACGATTTGTTTTATAACCTCAACCCAACGTAGAGTGTTTTTTTCGCTAAAATATCGATATAGTCTTTCTTTGATTGTTCGATTTGCTCTTTCTGCCATTGAAGCATGAACATCAGGACTGTATACTACACGCTTATCTATATCCTTCTTTTTAAAATATTCTTTCATTCGTCTAGCCTCAAATTCTAACCCTCTATCCGTATATAATTTATGAGGAAGTATCCCTTCTGAAAGTTTGAAAATATTTTCGAATGCCTCAATCATGTCTTCAGATCTCTTAGATTTGGCAGGCACAGCAAAAATTTTTCTGCTTAGTACGTCAATACAAACCAAAAGATATTTATACCCATCATTATATTTTGTTAGTTGATCAAATATGGCTAAATCCGCCTGCCAATCTGTGTGTAGTCCACTTGGGCGCGTGACTAACCTTGGAAACTTTTTCCTTGCAGGTCTATGCATTGTATAAACTCTTTGCCTATGCAAAAAATCATAAACATCCTGAAATTTTATTTTAGGATACTTGCGTCTAGCTTCTTCATAGACGCGATTTATTCCTGCGTAAGAAGCAGGAGAATTTAGTGAATAATAAATTTTTTCCAATAAGTTTTCTAGAGCTTTTCCCATATTTTTGGCATAAATTTATTTTTCCGTCGTATTAAACCTGGCGAATTTATAGGGGCGACTTTTACTAGAACTCTTTTTTTTCTCTTGCCACTGCCTGATTGATTATCTTCAGTCAAGCTTTCTTCTGTACTACTTTCTCCTTTAGTCTCCTTAATCATCTCTTTTACTAATGGGTCCTTGGATAGTCGATTAAATAAAAAACTGAAACCCTTTGGAGGTGATGATATTTCCCCTTGCACATACTCGAGTACTTCAGTGAAATTACTATTCTTTACAAGCCTTCCTTTGACATTAGATTCAAAGCTCCCATTCTTCCTTATTCTAAATTTTTCAGCATTGTCTTTTACGTAATTTTCCAATTCCTTCGAATATCGCCTTGAAATAATTCCATTAAAAGGTGTTATGTTCCTTCGTTTCGTTTGTTTTGACGGGGACGGTTCTGAATCAGTCTGATATTCAGATTTAGAATTTGATTCAGCTTGTAACTTGTTAGGAATTAACTTTGATTTAGGTGTAGTAGTAGCGGCTTCCTGCAAATAAGGTGCAACCTCCGGAGCGTTTGCTTTACTATCATCGATAATTACTTTTTGAGGACGATTTTCCAACTCATGTTTAAGCTGACGTCGTTTCTTATATAACCAGTTATATTTTTTTGCTTTTACATCTTCTGATAGCTTAGGATCATCCAAAGTATTTTTTATTTCCATGTTAGCTTGCGCTTTCTCATTTTGCAAGAAATCACCACCTTTAATCATGTTTAGAAGTGTAAGGTACTCGCTTTCTGGCACCATTACCATTTTCTTTGTATGTTTCATTCCTGGGAGAATTTATGTATAATATGCTCGGCTAGTGCTCCTAATACAGGGACAAGTATAGCAGCAAGCGCAGCACTACCGCCTTCTTGTAGTCGTTTACGTGCACTGTTTTCTGTGCGTGTCCTTGCTATCGCCCTATAAAAATCAGCAAATTGTGCCAATTTTCTACGTTGCTTTTTACTTAGTGTAAAATTATGCTTTAAGATATTAGCACAAATTTCCACAATTGCTAAAATTTGATCAGCGTTAGCGGTAAGTATTAGAGCGTTTTTCTTCTTGTCAGAGGATGTTTTTGCTAAGCGTTGAAGGAACTCAAAATTTTCTTTAACGTATGGGCTATAGTTATATGATGGCATTTTTATCGAACCAAATTTTTGATCACTTATATATTACAAGGGTAGATATATAGTGGTTTTTTCTCCGGGAAATATATTTGTAGAAAGTCTTAAATGTTCCTCAGTGCTGGGATGCATGTTTATCAATAAATAAGAAAAACGTTCTGATGTCGCATCGCGATAAGATTCAAGGAAATAATTTATCATTTTTGGAAAAAGTTGCGAGCCGAGTGTCCGGACTTGCAATAATCCTTGAGGATTTTTAGTTAGAAGGATATAATGTGCATTTGCTCTTGCTGTCTTTATATTACGACCGTAAAGTGATTGTGTTACAAATATAACACTAACTCCCCAATTATGTGACCCCCTTGTAAATAATAAATCAAGGAATTCGCTTTGAATATTAAGCATTAGGTCATCAAGAACTAAAAGCTGATGCTGTTTAATTATCTCAGGTTCCGGTACACCATTATACGTAGTAATGCCCATTTCTTTAATTTTAAAAACAATTTCATTCATTTCACCAAAACAATACATTATTTTTGAAGGTGGTGGGTCAATAAGGAGTTCAGTATTCTTGAGAAATTTTAAAAGCCACTGGGTTTTACCACTACCCGTGGCCCCTGAAATTATCATTGTAAAAGGGGCGTTGAACATTTTATTTTGATATCAAAAATTTCTATATTATATATAGTACCTAATTCTGTCGGACCTTGTGGTTAAGTGGGTTAATACAAAAATTATATATGTCAAATATTATTCCTAACTTCTGCTTTAATATTTATTATTTGTATTTAAATAATGTTTTGGTTGAAGTGTAGGCCTATGACATAATCAGTCTGAATATTTAAAAGACGATTTCATCATATGCCCACACTTAGCCATACATACTCATCAAAAACAACAATTCGTTATTAGCAAAAATTTTTTAGATGTACCAGAAAGCCATTATACAAAATATTGTCTCTACAGCTCAATTAATTGAAGGAACTAACAAAATAGATCTAGCAGCGCTGGCAGATAAAATTTCAGAAGCAAAATATCAACCAAAACGTTTTTCCGCACTGACTATTAAACTCAAATATCCTATGAAAGCAACAGGGCTAATTTTTTCTAATGGTAGAATAGTTTGTGTAGGAACTAATTCGGTTAAGGACTCAGAAATTGCAATTAGACATTTTGTCCAAATTATAAAAGAGGCAATTTCAATCTCAATAGAGATGCATAGCTTTAGAATCCAAAATGTGGTTTCATCGTTTTCATTTGCGGGGCCACTAAATTTACCAGGTAGTTTTATTTCTGTATAATTATTTTATTTTTAGCGTTATATGATTCAATGAGGTATGCACCTCCTATTTGGCTTGCTAAACATATTTCGTACAATCCAGAATTCTTTCCTGGTATGTGCCTAAGATTAAAAGAATCGCGTGCAGTTATAATTGTCTTCACAACAGGAAAATGTATTATTACTGGAGCAAGATCAGAAGAAGAAATTTATTTAACTCAAGATAAAATATATAATTCAATTTCAGCATTTTTAAAGAAATCAATCAAAAAATGCTTGCATTAATTTCAGTTCTTAACTCCATCAATAGTTCACCAAGTTTGTTCTCTCCCTCCCAAATACTTGGATCATTGAGAATAGGACTTTTTGGACTCAAGCCATTACTCCAATATAAATTTGAGTCGGAAGCATGAGTAATCAGGCCATCTCCTGTTGCACGTAATTGGTTTAGAAGCTGAGTATTCTGTGTGAATTTAGCCCATAAACCTGTGTACATAATCTGGAATATTCTTAATTAATTTTACATTGGAAAATAAATCTTGCCTTGCTCTTAACAGAATCCCACTCGAGTTTATTATAATTTCTCACACGCGTTCCAATTCTTCCAATAGCTAACGGATTGTTGAGCATCAAAACCTGTGCAGCAATTTCCAAATCACCGAAATATCGAGCTTTTTGCCAGATAAAATACTGTTCAGTCGAATTGAACGTTCGACCAAGCAACGTGAAAGTTGTTTTAAACCGATTATCGAATCCACATCTGTGCGAACTGAAAATAAATATATTCTGATTCTGAGTCCCAAGAATCTCTTCTGGAGGTAGAGAATTCTGTTGGTGTTTCAATTGGAGACGTTCGAACATGAGTGAAGTAGTTTCTTAGAAAATAAATAATTAATTTTTAGAGTAAATTCTTACCAAGATTGATGTCACTGAACATATGGATTGATATTAAATAAATCTTAATAATATAAAATTAAATATGAAGTTTATATTAAAGATATTTGAATAGCGATACATTTTAACTAAAAAATTATCGATAAATAATTTATTAATAATAAGTTGATATTTTTTTGCAAAAAAAACACTTTAATCATTTATGAATCACATCTTTTCCTCTATCTCAACATAGTCTAGACATTCTATTGGATAGAAATTCTCATGGCTTCCACCTCCAACAACACAAACAAGAGGAAGATGAGGATAAACAAGATTAAGATAGTGTCTAATATAGAAGAATTGCCTTAATTTTTAATAATTAAAGATCATGTATTAATAAATTAAACCGAATGGTGATAGATAAATATCCTCTAAGTGCATAAGTTCTATCAGAACCCATATTAGTAAAATTGCTAGGATAAACTTCAAAATAATGATGTTTTAAATGATTTGTTACAAGACACTTCTTTCCAGGCAAAATATCTTTTTCTGTAAATTCTTGTTGCCCAATTTTTAACTTGGCAACATCCTCTTTAGTCATAGTAGTAAGAGATTGAATAAATTTTAAATTTTCGTTATAGTTTTTGCGAATTTCACAATTAAGTGTTTCAGGCACACATCCTCCATTAAACTGACAAAGTAATTTTATAAGTGGTATAGTTTTCACAGACAAAGTGGACGTTGAACAAATTTTAAATTTTTCCAGCATTCCTGCATTGTAACCTTAAATTTTTATTGAAGAACAAATTTCATTATCAATATTACCAAGACTATTATTGCTTGTCATTTGGATAATAAAGTTAAATAGCAAACAAAAACCTGTAAGCATTTTTAAAATAGATTATTTAAATTTAAAAAATATCATGTATGAAAACTATGAATTTAAAAAAGAATTTTAGCTAAATTTATACATGATAAAATTTATTTAGTCGGATCAATTATTGGATCTCCTCTATATCCGTACGGGTAACAATCAAAATTTGAATCAATTAATCCTTTATCATAGATAGGGGCATATCTCCTAAAATATGATTATAATATTGTAAATTTTTCAAAAATCACCGAGTTTGTGACCGACTCGTAATTTCCCCATGACGCCAACTCGGTTGAAAGTGCGTTCTTTCAAGTAGTACTGGTTCTTGATCCTCGCCATAAGCTTCGACCATTGACTAGAATTATAATTTAAATTCATAATGATATTTAATATACTTTAAATTTGTTGAAGTCCAGAGGAGAGTCAACTGTATCCCAACACCCTCTGCATTTGACTATGTATTTTATTTCTTTGCTGACCTTGTGCCTCATTTTCATTGCATACTAAAAATTTTTAATTTTATTGGAATGATATTTTATTGACCTGTTTACAGCCTCCTGTGTAAAAAGCAACAATATTCCATTCTCCATATTCTTGGGCCATCATTCCCAACATTTCTCCAACACGAAATGGATGCTTCTGTCCACGTTTATGAACATAGAAACAGCTATCTGTGTCGGTATACAAGAGCTTACAGCCCTTTTCCATTACTATTTTTTCCATATAATCGTAGAGCATTATTCTAGCAGTTGCAGTAGTAATTAGGGCAATTGCAATATTGTATTTATCATGAGGACGCACAAATTCCTTTCGTTGCCGATAAGGAACAGAAAATAGATCTGTAGCCAACATTTCTACAGCCCCAATCTCAAGTTTCGGGTCATTAAGGACTGTGTGAAGTTTAACTGGTGAACTTGTTATGCAATCCTTAGAATTATTTAAAGTAATATTAGCTTAAGGATACCTGAGATAAGTTGCATCTCAATGCCCATCTGCCCCACCTAAACAAAAATTTTTATTTTTACTTCAAAAAATATTACATCGAATTGTTACAGGTTTTTGCTAGATATCGCATGCCTTCATTTCTAGAAATTCGGGAAGATTCCAAATTTATTCCATAAACACTTTGGTTTCGATTAATGAATTCTTGTTTTCGTTCTTCTAATTCTGATCCATGGATGTCAGCTAAACTATTTGGCCAACCGCTTGCCTATTTTATTAATTGATTAATATATCAAAGATATTAAACCTCTATTTTTAAACGCATCATATCCTGAACATATGGTCGTAACAATTTATCAGACCATTTTTCCCAATGGTAAATGCTATAGACTTTTGTAACTCGATATCCTTTCTTTAAAGCTAGTTCAAGTTCAACAGAACATGTTGTACTTACAAATCCTCGTTGTTCATCGCTATGTGGGCACAATTCATAGCTTTTTTCTCTAGTGTAACCTTGAATTTGCTTTTTTGCAATTCCCGGCGATATCTCTACAGCACAGCGATGACAAAGATGAAAAATCTTAAATAATCATTTGAAAAAATTTTTCTCGAATATATACCAATTTGCCGTGAATACGTTCTGGAATAACAGGCAAATATAAATTATCAGGAGGAATAATAAAAAGTTTGAACAGCCCTCGGTATGGATATAAATCTTCAGGCTTTGTCCAATTTACGTCCTTGTTCAGTTCCATAACTTTTGGATGCCCTTGTAAAAAAGTTTTATTCTGATTTTTGAAAATTTTATCTTACCTATCGGATAAAAGGCATAAAAATTCACGGCAGGATATAAACTAACAACATCAAAACATGATATTTCATATTCATTTTCTGACGATTCTTCTAAGTCACACTTAAGTGCCAAAGGTCCCGTTCTTCCCCCCTTAATTTAAAATAAGTATTTATTTCGAATAAATAATACATGAAAAGCATCCCTAGGATACAGCGGGCCAATATCTGGCAAGGTATCAAAAAACAGAGACATTTCTGGATCCTCTTCAAGTTCTTTCATAATTTCACATTCCCAAACGGCAGTAGTCCAAATTCCCTCTTCTTTCAATAAGAGAACACGTTCATGAAGTTTATCCTTGTTATATAGTGCCGTCTTTCCATTTAAACAAACTTCATGTGGGCGATATAAACTAAAAGCAAATAATTTGGAATATAAATCTAATTACCATTCATGTCCGTGCCATGCACATCCCAAAAATTCAATAGTTTGGTCTACACCTCCCATGTTTTTAATATACCCATCGAGACGCAAAATACTTCCATCCGAAACTCTGACTCTTTTTTCTCCTTCTGGACTTTCTTGATGTTGAACTTGAAGGCCTGTCTTGTGTGAAAGCCAGCGAAGAAATTTTAAAGCGATTGCAGATTGGTTTGAATCCCGGTGATAGCCATTATCGGGAATGATACCCATTTGATTTTCTTTCAAATAGTTTATACCTTAAAGTATAGTAAATTAAAAAATAATTTTTAAAACTTACAGAAATGACGAATACACGCGCTGGCAAGTGTCATAGAGTTAACAAGTACGTCGTCACACTTTGAAGGCTCTGTAGCTAATTCAAAAAAAAGACGCTGAAGTTTCACAAGGGCATGCGCCAGTATCCGAACATCTTGCTCACAGTATTCAATAATTTTTTCGCGCAGACAGAATGATTCGTTCTTATTCGCGCAATACCATTCTTCAAATAGTTTCCTTCTTTCCTTTCCCATTGAATCAGGGTAATAATATTGACGATCAGGCAATCCATCAAGGCAAATATTCATATTTTTATTAAAATTCCATCCATGAGGGAAAAAAGACTTTCCCCCCTCGTCAATTTCGAGAGCAAGCGCTTTTGGTAATTGCTCAAGTTTGAGCATCATCCAATTGAACGAATCGCGAAATGAAATAAATGGGCATCGTCTTCGCTGCTTCTTAATAAGAACTTCGTAAAGCTTATTTCCGGTTCTTGTAATTTTAGGCTCGATGCCAAAGTGTTTGATGAGCTCTCCTAATAGCAGATGCATATCATAGCGACTAAAAAATTTCTAATAAAATAATATAAGCAAGCAAACCCTCCATAGTGTGAGATGGCATAAGTTCTTAACGTTCGATCATACCCTAATCCATTAATTAACCATTCCAGAAATTCACGCAAAGGATTTTTATAAAATGCTGCTGTCCAGCTTTTCATTCGGGTTAGTCCTACACCACATAACTTGCAATCACCCGTTTCATCATTTTTCCAACTATTGTTGCCCATACACTTCGAACACATCAACAAAGCCTAAATTTATAGCTAAATAATAAAAATAATAAGTTTATTACCGATACACAATTTACATGATGAAGTTGATAATTTTCATCATCTGGCAATGCACGTAAAGGAGTCAACCCATCATTCTCAAGTTGCTTCCACGCTTCTTTATTTTTTATTGGAGATATGAGCTCACATTCAAAATCGAATACAATCTAAAGATAAAAATTTCATTTTACATTTATAAAATACCAATAGATAGTTCTGTTTATTTTTTGGTACAATTGGTTGAACATAACATTGCTCATCGCGCTTGTGGAATGAGCGACAGAGCGAGCAAAATTGTATGTAGCAAACATGACCATTAGTTTTATTTGAATCATTTTCACTGTTGTCCGTAGATTCGCTGTTTGATTGTTGCGAGTTAACCGAATCTTTCTTGACACGATAAATATGTCCACATTTCTCGCATCTAAAAAATTTGTAAAAAATGAAACACAAAAAATACCTTTTAAAAATTTTGCAAATTCCTTTATCTTTATGTCGTTTGTAACATTCAGGATTTATAAAAATATTTGCACATTCAAAACATTTTTGAGAATATCCCTCAATTTCCTTGCATGGAAAGCCATATCCCATCCCACAACAACGAGGGCATTTAGCTACACATGACTGTCGATGAGCATTCTTATGTCTATAGGGTGCCTCACAGTCAATACAATAAGGTGTTCCAAAAAGCGCGTTCACACATCTAATTCCATAAAAGTGCCCTTGCTTCAAGTATAATCCGATCTCATGCTCGGCTCTTTCAGGGCCTTTCCATATTGGACGCATATTTCCATGTTCTCCAAACACTGATATTCTATATTTTCCAGGGAAGCGGAGATCTAAAAGTTGTTGAATCAACGGAACATGTTCTTCTACTGTATATTGAGGTGCATAATGAGGGTAGTTAATTTTGTATATCAACATTTGCTGAAGCATTTCATTGATTAATAATGTTCGTCCAATTTTTGCATTTTTACTTTGACTATTTACAAGTCTCTGGAATTTGACATTGGCAACATTCGACTTTTCCAGGTTAACATGTTTTAGTTTCAATTGAACAGCTAATAATAGACAGTGATTGTTAGCGGGAGGATTAAGTGTTTCATTATGGACCTATAATATTTTGATAAAATGATTAGAAATAAACTTGTTTACTTGTATCAGGTTATTAATGTCAATTCCATGCTCAATTTTACGCGGATTTCTTCCGACGCCTCCTTGACCTTGTCTAATTAATTCTAAAGCCTCATCATGTGAAGGACCCATGACAATCTAAATAAATAATTTTTTAATAAAAAAATAACTTAAACCTCAATATGAATTGGTTGACTGTATAAAGAGGGTCTTCCCATACGTTTCCCACTCTGGTCAACTGCATCAAATTGCTCCATAACTACTTGAGGAGTATTTTGAGCGAGGCCGCGATATGGTATTTGAATTGGTTTTTCAAGAACCGCACTTCTAATAATTATTGAACATTTTTCGGATTTTGCACCCGCTGCTTTATCAGCTCGCGCCAAAAAGTGGTCGATCAGATCTTCTAAAAGTTTGTCGGTGCCATCTGGAGCATCATCTACATTGCGAACAGTGAAAACAGTTCTAGAATATAAAATTTTTATAGAAATAAATTTTATTTACCTGAAAACACCAATTTTAAATTTCGAGCTTTTAAGATTTTCGGATACGTCTTCTTTATAAAAGTGGTCAATGGAATAATTTCCAAAATTTTTTCGGTTCATCTAAAATTACAAAAATTTTTATTAGATGATTTTTAAATAATTTTGCGATGTTAACGAAAATAATTATTTGAATAAAATTATTTGGTTAATTTATTCATTTATAAAAAAACAGGCACTTTTGGAAAAATCTATGACTCGCATAATGTCTTTTTTACCATCCTTCTTCTGAATGTATCTCTTCGTTTGTCGACATATAATGAACAGTACCAGGCGCAAATATTGACACATTGTCTTGTGCATTTGTTGTAGTTGTCGAAGTGCCTTCACCTGCATCTGCTAAATCCTGACTCGCATGTGTCTCAATATTAAGTTGAGATTCCAAACGTTTAGTTATGTCGTTCATAATAATGACAGGAGAAATTTCTATAATATAGGTATATGTTTTTAAAAATCGGTATAGATACCTCTCTTCTTCTTTGATGGTATATAACGTCTGTAGCAGCAAACGTCTATTGCCGACTGCAGGTCAATTTGTTCCCAATATTTGCTATTTGGATGTCCTAGAGCAGAATATAATTCATTTTTGACGACGTCAACAATGGCCTTAATATTTTTTAAATAAAAAAATTTTTAAATAAAAACTTGTCTTCCCAGAGCTTGTCTCTCCTTCAAAAAATGCTCATGGATTTTACTTAATCCAATTTGTGGATATCTATTGCGGTGATGCTGAATAAATGCGTTATAAAGATCAGCCTTAAGTTGCTTTTCGTCATATTCTGCACCATGAAGCTGCACAAGCTTTCTCGCCAGACGACTACGTTTCTCTTTGAGCTCTTCAAGTGCAATATCCGCTACATGTTGATCCATCTGAAAGGTAATGTAAAATTAAAAGAATAAACTAAACCTTTTATTGCACAAAACAAGTTGTAAAATTTGAGATAAAGATTTGTTGCAATAAAGAATTCAAAGATGAATTAGTAAATTAAAAGATAAAATTCGATAAAACGAATGAAAAATAAAATTTCCATAAAAAAATAGCCTTTATTCAACAAAAGTTATAGTTATCAATATTCATTTTTTCTTATTAAAATTGCTGAACATATCAAAAGTTTTCTGTTGGTAGTCCTTATTGTAGTCCTTACAGGCCTCGCAAACCTACAAAATATTAATTATTTTTAAAAACTTTTTGAACATCTACCATGAAACTCAGCTCATATTTTTCCCCGCATTTTTGCAAGAATATGTCACTGGCCAAGGACCTCTGAAGACTAATACATTTATCGCACTAAACTTTTAAAATAAATCGTATTTAAAATAAAATTTTTACCTGATGCAAAATCCAACAATATTTCAATAAGCCCAATAGCTTATAATCAGTCCCTGAAGCAATATTTGCGCCGCGTCGAAAGTATAAAACACCGTCAGCTTAAAATTTTTTCAATAATTTCAATTTTTATAATTTTCTTACATTTTGAAAAGCTGGACGCTTGTTCCTCAGGCGTTTCAAACATTTCCTTGAAACCTTTTAAAAATTTTTAGATTATCTCATAATTATGTAATACCCCAAATGGCAGCATAATACGTCCCTAGATTTATATTCTTGTCGAGGTCCTCTGCGCACAATTCGAATGTAAGCATAAGATTTATAGCATTTCCTGCTTTGTAAAGAAAATTTTGTCGTTTCTTCTGCGTTTCTCGACAGTCGTTGCATTGGTGAATGAAAATTCCTTGGCGCGGTACTTTAAGCACCTGTGCACGCTTAAGTAATGCCTCAGGAACTAATGTTTCGGCACGTTGTTTACCTAAAAAATATTTAAATAAAAAATATCAAACTTACGTTCGATTCTCTTTTGCTTGTATTCCTCTTCATCCTCGCCCAAAGAAATAACTGCATTTGGATCTGGGTCATCAGACTCGTCCTCTTCCTCTTCATAATCCATCACCGCATCAAGAATAGCTTCATGTTCAGGATCTTGTTCCTTTAAATGTTTAGACTTTTGGCCGTTTGCTCGTTCAATAATTGACTAAAATATTTAATTTAAATTATTGACGAAAATTTTTTCAACCTTAATAACAGCGTCAAAAGTATTTCTTGAAACATTTCCCATTTTTTTATTTGACTTGGTTTGTGACTTCTTTGCGATCGGTGCCTTGATTGAAGAAGAACCCGAACTCAAAGTAGAAGTCGATTTTTCAAGAGAACGTCGACGTCGGGCTTCCGCAGCTTCTTTCTTCTTTTTGTGTTCTAATATAAAAGAGCGTAATTCTTGAATTTCCGATGCCGTCATTGAAGCTTAATTTCTTTTTTTATCAAAAATATTTAATATTTACCTTCTAATGCCGAATCTTCTTGTACAGTTTTTGCCTCGCTTTGAATTTCTTCGCAACCCTTATCCACACACATCTCCGTCCCAGCATTCTCATCAATTATAATTGGGGCTTCAGCAGTGCCTGTAAATGATAAGCCATATTATTAAATTAAATAATAATACGTATTATCATTTACCATTTTTGGTTTTCGTATCAACTATTTGTTCCATCAGAATTTCTTTCTAATGAAATAATGTGCGAAACTAAAATATGAAAAGTCAAACTATTGAAAGATTATATAAAGATAAATTTAAAAAATAAAATCGAAAATTAGGGCAAAATAAATTAAAATTTTATTATTGATATTAAATATTGTAAAGTTAACTCTAAATGTGAAAAGCTTATAAACAAAAATTTTAAGTTTAAAAATTAAAAATCGAAATAAAATAATTTTAAAAATTCAATTATAGGAGAGGGAGAATATATAAGGATTGAAGAGAGGGATAGGAGAGGGTTAAGGCTATTATTAAATGTTGACTGAGAAAGCAGAATGAACCTTTAGGCTGTTTTGGGCCTGCTTTTATATGGGTCCTGACGGACCAAACTTTGATTAAAATGATTTATTATACCCGTATGTATTACATATTGTTACTAAAACGGGAATAATCTTTGCTACTTTTTGATTAATCACCTTTTTTCCTGCAGAAATTTTATCTATTTTGAAATACATTAAGATTTTTACATAAATAAACAACTTTGCTCGAGAAATATCATACAACATTTAAAACACAAAAAATTTCGTATAAATACTCGAATTTTTCCAACCAATATTCATTTTTTATAATTCTATCCTGGACTAAAAAAGGCCATAGACGTCTTTACTTTGGCTAAAGCTGAGTCGAATGACACCAAAACAAAGCTCAACAAATTTATATCTCGAGACCTTTCGAATGATAATATTAAAATTAGTCGAATAGGAAGATAAATAAAAATTACGGTCGTGCACTGAATCGGCCGAACTAAATAGGCAAAACTGAAACATCCTTTACACACAAATTTGTATTTATCTTTTGTTCTATTTTCTAATTCACTTATATTTTGAGTGTAACATTTTTATCTACAATTTTGATGATTCATCATTTATTTTTTAAACATTTTTCTAATGAAATTAACGCGACTCGGTATTTTCCTTTTTTCAGTTTTTCCATAAATGTATAAAAAAGCACTATATAAATTATATATCATTCGACCATGCTCTTCGAGCTTGGTCGCATGATAACAATTGTTGTTATTCCCGCTTGTCGTTTTTCTAAAATATTTTAGACTTTTTACAAATTTTAATAACTTCTAAAATTTAAGATACAACAATTTTTGGCAGTCTTGATGAAAAAGTATCAGAAGCAATTCTTTGGGAATTATTTGTCAATTCTGAGCCAGTTACAAGCGTAAATATGGCAAATGACAGAATTACTGGAACACATCAAGGATTTGGTTATATTGAATTTATGAGTGAGGAGGATGCTGATTATGCTATTAAAATTATGAATATGATTAAATTGTTTGTGAAGTCAATAAAAGGTTTGAGTTTTTTCATTTAGATTGGGCTGAATAGAGATCGAAAATTTTGAGAAAGTCTGGGCTATTCCTGGGTTTGATTTATTGACCTGGGGCCGAATCCTTGGCCTGTAGTCCAGGAAAAACCAAGGCCTTGGTCAGGGCCCCGCTCGATTTCTACTGCTGACTAAAATACTTTAACCGACGTCCCCTGTTGTCGTTATTTTTCTGGCATTTTTCCTCTTGGTAAAGGTATAGTCCCTAGAAAAAATTAGAAAGAAGGTCAGAAAACAATTGCAAAAAATTGAGCGGAACTGGGGGCCAAATTACTAGGGAGATTGTATTTTTAGAATTATCGTTTGTATCCTCATCTATTATGATACCCCATACAACTTTTAGTTTTTGTAAAAAATCGTCGGAGCAATCGAAATTTAATTCTAAAGCCAAAAAATAGTCATTGCCTAAATTTATTGACTTTTTAGTTTAATTTTGGATTTTATTAATATTTTCAGAATTTGGATTTATTTCAAAAATTGTTTTTAATTAAAAAATTTTTCCTTCGATTTCAGTCAATAAAGCTTCTGCTAACGAAAAACAAATGGATGTGGGTGCTAATTTGTTTGTTGATAATAGCTGCTGAAGTTGACGAAAAATTAATGTTCGATACTTTTAGCGCTTTTGGTGTTATTTTACAGGTTTCTTTAAATTTTAGTTTTTAATATTTAAATTTATTTTTTAGCCGCCCAAAATTATGCGTGATGTTGAATCTGGATCTAGCAAAGGATTTGCTTTTATTAATTTTGCGTCTTTTGAGGCTTCTGATGTTGGTTATTTTATCATTCTTTTTAGTGCAACCCCCCCCCCCCTTTCTATTTAGTATTTTTTCAATTTATAACTTAAAATCTATTTATTTCTACCCTTTTTTTTTATTTTCAAAACCCATTTAAAAAATATTTTTTCCGAGCGGGTTCGAACCTCCACCTCTTCGCCGATTATTTTTTTATTTTATTTTTTTAATTTTTAACTCACTTTCTTTTTAGAAAAACCTTCAAAAGAATCTCTAAATTCACTTCGTGTCAACATTTATCGATTAGAACGCCTTTGTGCTTCCTGGTTAAATACTGGACATTTCTCAAATGTGCCTGATCGTTTGCGTTTACTTTAGTCTTTTTTGTGTGCACTTATGGCTAAATTGGATTTTTTATGTGAAGATTATTTGGTATTTTTTATTTTACAATTATTTAAAAATTTTTCTGATTTAATTGGCAATTATTTTTAAATTAAGGGAGGTCGTGGGTTCGAACCCTCTTGGGTGTATTTATTTTTTAGATTTATTTTTATGCCATGATATTTAATTTCTATCCAAAATTAGACGTTTTTGACTTGATTCATTTTAAAATTCTTTACACAAAATTTTTAACCTTTTTTTACTTTTTTGTTCTTACTCTTTTGAAATTTCAAAAAATTACATATTTTTTTTTAATTAAAAATTTTTTCATTCAAGTCCTCTTTACGTTTCTGTGATGAAGGATTAATTGAGGACCGTAATTTGGAGGATGAAAGCCTTTCAAAATTTGCTTCTCAACTTTGCTGTTATTTTCTACCTCCACCGCCTGAATTATCTACACAAAATAATCAAAGGTTTTTCTTTTATTTCTAATCATTTTTTAAAATATTCTTTACACGGATTTTTTCTGGTTGTCCGCAAAAATTTTTGCCCGTAAATTTTATATTCCTTTGTAGCTTGAATGTGTTTTTTCTGGAGTGATTTGTAATGGGTCTGTCGACCTCAGAATCTAGACCTTTTCGATCCGAAAGGAAATCTGAAGAAACTTAAAAACACCCTTCTTGACTATTTCTGGTTCACCCCAGGGTCTAGTAAACTGTTAAAAATCAACGACTCGACTTTGAAGTCAATTGAATTTTTGCGGACAAAATTTGAGGGATAGGGAAATATACAGTGAAACTAATAAAATTTTCCCTTCTGTTAACAAAACTTCTTTTTAAAGCCTTCCCAAGCAAACCTTCACCACCTCTTCCCAATTCTTTACCAATCCATTTTGGGCAGCTTCACTCGAATTTTTCTTCAAAAATTATTATTTGCCTGGATTACCTTTAATAATTAATGAATGGTAAATGTTTGGCCTGCTTTTGAAAAATGGGGGGTAAAAAAGAATTTTTTGTGTAAAAATTTTTGAAAAAATTTATTTAATTAAGGAAAATTTTCAAATTACAAAACTTCCAAAAATTTTTTAAAAACCAACACAAACATTAACTAAAATATATTCTCTTTTTATTTTTTATTTTTAATCATCTTTTTTTAGAAATTTAAATAGATAAAAAATAATAAAATAATTTTTTCAAAGTTAGTTTTTTCCAAATCCGTTTTTTCCAAATCAATTTTTTCCAGATCATTATTTTTGAAAACATTTCTTCTCCACTAGAAAAATGGTAAGTAATTTATTTTATTTTCCCTAAAATTTACCATTAATATATTTACTCAAATAATTATCGTAGTATTGCTTTATCTCTAGATGGAAAGCTAATTAGTAGGATGTGGTAATCTTAGGAGGCGCTTTAAGAAATTTTTTATTTTTAGAGAGTATTTATTTTTTCGGATCCTGACTGAAGTTTACTTAATGAAAGAGATTTAACAAAGTCAGGGTAATTATTTGAGTAAATACAATTTATTTGTATTTAAAATTCATCTTTTTTTCATGACTTACTTTTCAATGAGCGTGCTATTCTTTTTTGTTTTTCTTTCTCTAAAAGATCACTCATTTTATCAAAATGCTCTCTCTTGAGAGCAAACACGTCCTTAATTTTATATTATTGAATTTTATTTTCTAAATAATTTTATTCTTTTAATTATCGTATTTATTCGATTAATTCCCCATTCATGAATTTTGCTTTTTATTGGGAACCCAGAAATAGAAATCACATATAGAACCACTTACACCGATGGTAGGCATTTTTGCCGGATCGCGATACAAGTTGGGAAAACATACGCGAATGGCTGTCTAAAATATTTTTTATAGAAAATTATTTTAGCATACTCTTATATGATTAAGAAAACGCCACCGGTTGTCATACAATGAAACGTCTTCCCCTTTATGCATATGTTTCATATGCAAGATTACAATTCCTTTGTTATTGCAACCCTGTGTGAAAATCAACAGAAAATTAAAAATTTTATGTTTAATTATTAGGAACCAGTTTTTTAAAAATTAATCATATATTTAGATTATCTTCGGTTAGTTTACTTTCATACGCTATAGATAAGACATAGAATAATCGGTTAGAATTTAACAAATTTTTTAAATAATTAATCGGAAAATTAAATTATAAAGTAAAATTTTCCAGAAATTTTATCAAATTTTTGGAACTTTTAAGGAAAACTTCGGAAACCGAAATTATGTTATTTTTAATAAAAATATTACAAGCTCGCATCCAGAGCATTTATATAATTCTCGAGCGACATGTCCGTAAACATGGTGAATATGTTGTTTACGGACTTTGGTGTTGCAATATTGGCATCTTTGCTTTCGCCTTCCGCCTCTCTTCAAATACGCACTTCCGCTGCAATATTCTTCCATTTTTCGTTTAAAATATAATTTTGCTTGTTGGATTTTAGATGGTCTTTTTCTTAATAATCATTTTAAACAAAAATTTAATTTTTAATTTTCTGTTGATAGATCATCTTCGGTTAGTTTACTTTCATACGCTAGAGATAAGACATAGAATAATCGGTTAGAATTCGAAAAATTTTGAAATACTTAATTGAAAAATTAAATCATAAAATAGTATTGCAATTTTTTGCCAGAAATCGATTTGAACTAGATATTACAAAAATTTTAAAAGAATAGATTTACATTAATACCTTTTTCCAAATTCTCTAACCATTTTTAATTTAATAAATAAATAGTACAATAATAGGTATATTAATATATATAAAATAATTTTAAAATATTAAATCTGATGGATATTGGAATGTTTCCATTGTTTAAATACTGGTCCTATTTTGATCTTTAATATCTGTTTTTTACAATTATTTTTTTTGAAAAATTTTTCAATTTATCTTTTATCCATATTGCAGATATTTTTGTCCCATATTGTTTTATTAGTTTGCTTTTCATTGTTTTATTTTTTATTTTATTTCTGTTTCTAATCTATGCCCTCTATTTTTACTCATCAGATATTTTTTCTATTCCCTCTATTTTTAAACTAATTTTACTTGTCAAATATTTTTTCTATTCTTTTTATTTTTAAACAATCTCACTCGTCAAATACTTTTCTTATCCCCCCCCCCTCTATTTTTTGCTCGACAGCTATTTTTTACGTTAAATTTATATATTACATTTATTTTTATATTTTAGCCATCGAGAACGTTTTTAGTCACAACTGTTTGTCATTTTGTTTGGATTTTTACTGGCAATTTTTACTTTTTTCTGGCAATCTTCACTTAATCAACGTAAACATTTTTATTTTGGTGAAATACATCAATTGGACCATTTATTATTAATTATGTTATTACAATAAATTAACTTAAGGAAATTTAGGAACTAGATTTTCTAAATCTAATTTTAGGTACCAAGGATATACAATATTTTTTTCGTTATTTTAAATTTCAATTTTTTCGGAAATGTGGAGGAAATGAAAATTGCTCGTTATTTTTGGAACAAATTTTTCGTTGTTTATTTTCATGTTAACTTTGCGTTCTATATATACCTATATTTTTTCCGGAATTTTTTAAAATATTATTTTAAAGTTAATTGGTGGTAATCCTCTCCAAGCAAAAGCTTATGACAGTGTAATAATTTATTTTTCTGATATTGTTGTTTTACTGCACTTTCTGCTTTATCTACCCCTATGCAAGTAAAAACAAATAAAAATTTATTTTTAACAACTAATCTTTTTAATTTACAAAGGTTGTTGCCCTTCGAAATGATCTCTACTTAGCTTTTGATAGCGTTGTTGATAACTTTAAAGTTTATAAAGTTGAAACTATTGGGGATGCTTATTGGTTTGGAGAGATGATCATGCTTCTCAAATTGCACAAGGAGATAGATAATTTTTGCAAATAAAAATTAAAATATTTTTAGATGTTTCTTGCTTTATTACATAAAGTCAAAAATTTTACAATAAGACATAGACCCAATGCACAATTAAAATTAAGACTTGGAATTCATTCAGGCAAAAAATAATTAATTTACAAATTAATTTTCCCCTCTTTTTAGGTTTTGTTGTAGCCGAACTTGTTGGATCTAAAATGCCTAGGTATTGTCTGTTTGGGGATACAGTAAATACTTCAAGCAGAATGGAAAGCAATGGATTACGTAAATAAAGATTTTTTATAACCAGTTCTTTTTTAACGCTCTTCGTATCCACGTGTTGTATCCACGTTTCTTCTGATACAAGAGAAATTCTTGATAAAGATTCAGATTTTCAATTAGAATTACGTGGTGAAGTAGAAATGCAAGGAAAGGCAAACAAACCACTCATTGGCTAAAGGTTATTTAAAAATAAATGAAAATTACATAATTCTTTTTTTTAAGGGCTACAAAGACACTCATGTTCCTTACTTTGGGCCAGAATACTTACAAAAATTTTATTTTCTCTCCATATTACTTTATTTTCGCCTTCTCCAAAAAGCATGGAAACGGGTATTAAAACAACTGGAAACTAAATTTTTCTTCTGATTAAAATAAAATAAAGGATTAGTCACTCCTTCAATAAATGAAAGAAATATCAAGTTATTGGAATTTAATAGAAATTATTAAAAGTAATAATTTAAATCTTCTCTCGCTACACTTAAATATTTTTTGCTAATTAAAAATTTAATTTTTAGTTACATTTGTTAACAAAAATCTTTAAAATTAATTTGTTTTTTATCTTCCTAATAATAATTACCCCGCTGCTTATTTTTAAATGTATGGATAGTCATCGCAATCACTACGATTTTTATTTTTTCTCTTTTTTATTTAAACTTAATAAAAATAGGAAATATTCAGAATTTAATTTTTTAATTATTTTTTTTAATAATTTGTTAATAAACATTTAATTCTTCTAAAGACTGCCTCTATTACAGATAAATACTTTATTGTTGTTTGAACTTTTTTAGTAGCTAGTTAAAACAATTTTGTTTTTAGAAATTGTTTTAACTGGCTACTATATACTACTTACAATTTAGTATCAAAATTTAAAATAAATCTGATATCAAACCTCTCATCAATTAACATACAGATCTCAGCGATTGCTACTCTCATTCTCTTTTACTTACAATCGTTTTGTCTTGGCTAACTCATAAAGAATATATATCCAGTTAAAAATCAAACTATCTATTACTATCAAATTTTCAATTTTGAATTTTAATTATGATTATAGTAATAAGTTTTCAATTTTCTATTTTCAATTTTAATTATTATAATAATAATAAGTTTTCTATTTTCAATTTTCAACTTTCAATTCTCAACTAAATATTAATTTTTCAACTATCAACTATTCAAGAACTATCAGTTATGAACTATCAAAATATGTCAAATTTTCAATTATTTAATTTTCAATCAATCACTTTATAGAAAATACATTGCCTCTCATTTTTGTTTATCCTCTCTTGCCAATGCTTCTAAAAAATTTTTTATTGATAAAATCCACGTAAACTAATTGATTCTGACTCTATATCTCTTAACAACGATTCCTCCCCTCGCTCACTCTCTCTCACTCCCAAGACTGCCAATTTTCTTTATTAAAGCCCTCCCCCCTTCTATACACACACAACGAGTCCCATCAACATTTATTGGCAGTGTTTATTCAACATTTATCTGCACTCGTTTGGAATTATTCTGAATTCTCCCTATGAAGAGACGACCAGCATCTACTGAAGATGCTGGTTTGCTCCCAGGTGCCAAATTACCTTTTGCACTAGCTGAAGAAGAGAAATAGATATACCCATCTGCTTTATTTTTTTAGAAAGTTTACTGTATTTATTATAGAATGTTTATGGTCCTTATAAGTTAATAATTTATAAATTAATAAAAAAAATAAAAAAATTTTTCAATCAATCACTTTATAGCATATGTATACATTGCCTCTCATTTTTGTCTATCCTCTCTTGCCAATGCTTCTAAAAAAATTTTTTTAAATAAAATCCACGTAAATAAATCGCTTCCGACTCCATATCTCTTAACAACGATTCCTCCCCTCTCTCACTCTCCCTCAATCTCTCTCTCGACCTCTCTCCCAAGAGCTGGCCAATTCCCTTTATTAAAGCCCTCCCCCTTCTACACACACACAACGAGTCCCATCTACATTTATTGGCAGTGTCGTCTCTCTCTAAAATTTTTAAATTAAATGTTAATTTAAAATGTTTATTCCTCTTTTATGTTCATTGACTCAAACCTTTTCAATAAACTTATCATTTACGGAGCTTTTTAAATTCACAGAAATATAAGCTAAGATCTAATAGAAGCACACTTCTTATATACACTCAGTTCCAAATTTATAACCGCACTCCTATTTTTCTCAATATCTCATGTTCCAGTCAATACTTCTAAAAGATTTTTTAAATTATCATATGGAACCATGTGATAAACAATATTTAATAATGAAATGGATTTTTTAATTTACAGCCTAGGGAAACATTTTTAAAGATATGGACTTATATTTGGGTATTTACTGGGTTTTTTTTAATTTTATTAGTTGAATATTTAGTATAAATTATTACTTAGTATACAGGAAATTCACTTCTCTTGGAGTTGTGGACTCCATAATGCCTTTAACGCATGCCTTTTAATTCTGTAAAGCATATAGCAGTTTATTTCCTAAGGCTGAGCAGTAGGCTGCGTGTTGTAATGGCTAACACATCAGTCCGGTCTACTGAAGATGCTGGATCGCTCTCAGCCGCCGAATAACCTTTTGCACTAGCTAAAGGAGTGAAATAGCTGCTTTGCTATGCTATAAAATATAAAATTTTAGAAATGAAGCTGAAAACATTTCCCCTAAACTTCCCAATCCTCACCCTAATTTTCATTTTGTTTTCCTTCAAAAATTTCTGTGATGCCCAACACAATCTAAACAATTCTATACGATTACAAGTAAAGAATTTGTTGGAAAAATATTTACCGAAGGAATCGGACAAAAATCCATTGGAATCGCTTCAACATTTGTTCAACGGACTTGCATTATTTAACGACCACTACCGTTTTGGTGGTATTCTTGACTATTGCAAAGCATTTGAAGTCGATTCATCGGTAGGCAAACAGAAAGTAATAAATTATGGGGTACTTTATTCTTATCCCTCCCCTCATCGTTATTAATTTTAATAAGTGATCTGACTTGCTCCAGACAATAGAAGAAAAGATCAGATTATGGACTTGAAATTTATTTTTATTTTTTAAAGGCTAGATTCATTAAAAAGCAGAAGTTTCAACAAGATATGGACAGAGAGATGTTGGAAAATGTCAATAGATATGTTGAATGTGTAAATGAAATATACACAAACTATTCCAGCGTGTTAGATAATAAATATGCAAGACGCGGAGGTTAAATATTTATTGGAGTTGAGGGTTTCAGATCGGGGCGGTGTACTTGTGTTTTTATCGTAACGGGCCGTTCGATTCTTTTTCGGGACAAAATTCGATGTAAGATTCGATCTTTCGATTTAAACCTAATCTGGTCCCCAACCCTAATATTTATAATTAAGGATAAGTATACGCACTTGTAGAAATCTACCTCTAAAAAAGCACACTATAGACGACAACCACTTAGTCTAGAATCTCGATTCAAGACTTTACCTGTTGGGTTTCGGTCATGGTATAGCTATATGCTTTAAAATATTAAAGGGAGTATACTATAACAAGATTCGATTGTATAAGCAATAGATAAACTTAAGTACATAAAGAAAAGTCTGTAGAAGTTTTTGAGACTTATTAAATTTTTTTAATTTCATAGATAAACAAAAAATCGACATTTTCAAAAATTTTATGAGAGCATTTTTATTGACAAAACCAATATTTCTTGCGGTTGAATCAATAAGATTTATGCGTACTGGAAATCCGCGTTTAGTTGGTCAATGGTGGATTTTAAATTCTCGACTCCCTGAAAATGCGCAAAATTTCCGTAATGTGCGCCGCAATTTTTTTCTTCAACTTGCTGCAACACAGAAAAAGGAGGTACAGTAAAAGTTTATCTGAACATTTGGGTTGATACCAAATATTCGACTATATACGATACTTAAAATTATTATCCCACTGTTTAAAAACGTAACTATAAAAATGAATCTATTTACAGGAACTTCAACTTATATACAAGTTGACAGAAATGCTTTCCGGAATAAACGACTTTCTCAACCTTAACAATTTGCAAAACGAGCTTCACCCAGATGAAATAGATTTTATCAATGGTCGATTTGATGGAACATATGAATATCAAATTAATGAAGTAAATCTAGAAGATATTATTTAAATTACTTAAAATAATGAGACTTTTCAGTCTCTCCGCTTTCTCCCCCCCTCCCCCTACATTTTCCTTTCTCCTTTATCCATTTAAAAATAATAATACGCAAATATCCAGCTCGGAATTTTATAACTAGTAACCAGAATCCTCTCTAAACCCTTAAAAGTTTTGTAGAAATAGAGTGAATCTATTCCAAATAAAGCTAGATTCAAGACTAGCATCTTCTCAACCAGATTTTACATATGCTGAACCATTATTTACCTTAGAGCATTTTAATTTTCAACTCATTTTAGCAAGTTTTACTACAATTTCCAATGATATTCTCAATTACGAACAGAACATCCTGGTCTAAATTGTGTACGGTTGAATTGAATATTGATTATTACAATGGACTGATTGATCGATATTCCAATCAATATTTAATGATTCAAGCTGGTTGCAGGTATTTATTATAGAGATGAACCTTTGAGCTAGCTATTTCTCCTTAAACTAAATGCAAATGTTTATATAAGTGGCTGAGTGATCACTGCAGTCTTCAGTTGACTGGAGTGATAACATATCCGTTATACCATGCCTCAAGCATAGAAAAAACCATATGGTCTTGACGTGTAGTTGCTATCTTCTGGTCAGAATACCGTATATTTAACACTATGGTTTGACAAAATATGCATGGAAAATTGCAAAACATGCGCATATACATATATGCACCACTAGTGTGTGGTTGATAATAAAGGTGGATAATATGTTAAAAGGGATAATACATATATGTTATAATTATCCTAACCCCTTTTTTATCAGGGGCTAGTCGGCGTTGGGCCCCATGAGTGCTAACCCACCTTTTGGGCGCGCCGATCCACCAATTAAAAGGAAAGTTTTCTTTTTAACTTTTTATTTACTAATATATTAATAAAATATAAGGGAGAAAGAACCGGCCAACCTTTGTCGGTGGAACTTGAGATTGACTGAACATGTTTGGCCGATTCTTTATCGACTTTTATGGGGCATTCAAAATGAGCGTTAAATAATTTTTTTAAACTATAACATATGTATCAA